CAGTCGCAAGCTGTTAAGTAAGCTAACAGTGAGGCTGGAAGAGTCTACCAAAAGAGTTGGAGGGAACATGTTGCACAACACTCAAAGCTATCACACACACACACGCACACACACACACACACACACACACACACACACACACACACACACACATATATATATATATATATATATATATATATATATATATATGTATACAACATGTATATATATACCCTGTTCAGTTCACCCCTTTCGAGCCACAGTTATAAACAGTTACAAGCACTGATTATGAATGCGAACTATTACACTGGTCGAGTCTACCTCACAGATTATGTGAGGGGAACTAACTCAAATATCCGGACTGCTGCGAGTGCTTGTTTGTTGTTTTTTTCTACTCGACTTTTTGCCGTCCTGTAATCGGATCGTGACCTCCATTAAGACACCGGCTCCAGGTCGCGAAACACTAGACAAAAACAGCCAAATGTGAAATAAAAAATTAATAATTGTCATGTTCTACAAAAGATATTAGACCCATTGGTATTACATGTAGTTAGTACAGATACATCTGTTTCTTTGCTTTGTGTTTGTGTATTCACAACTAAAGATAAATTTAATGTTTGTTGGAATAAATATTTAATGAGATACTTTCCCGGCTATTTTAGCGGTTGAACATGCACACAACATGAAATCAGGATTTGTTTTCATTCACAACTCAGTGTTGCTGCCTCGAGTAAGATTCTTGTGTGATATCTCCAGGCCCTATCTGGTCGCATCTCACTTTGATTATCCTGTCAAACAAGTCAGCCCTCACCCCTGTGTGCTAGCAGAGACACTAAAATATAGAGACAGGAAACGAGGCCTCGCGGTCCGTGACAACAGTGCATTTGCGAACGTGACCGCTGAGAAGCGAGCTAAAAATAACCAGGCGCGGTATCGACAGCGAAGCGCGTCGCATCTAGCCTAGGCATAGGCCTAGCTTTCTGTGGCTTAGGCCTAGCGCAATCAGAGAACTGGCCAAGGTTGAATATTTGTAAACACTGCCTCTACAATATATACTCTTCTGGCCTACAGAAAAATTTACACATGTGGAAGAAAACAGGACAACAGATTTAAAAACTGAATTCTAGATCTAGGCCTAGTTATAAAATAATGTTGATCTAGCATAAAACCAATACATGTCTTGATAACGTAGACCGAAAACTGGATCTAGATCTACATCTACATCTAGATTATCTAGATCTAGATTCGAGAGATCTAATCTAGTCAGTGTCAGTAGTTACATAAGAAAAAAAGTCATCTAGATCTAGATCTATATATAGGCTTCCAGCATAATAAAAATATGCCTGCCTTAGCCTAAATATAACTTTGATCTAGCTTACAATATAAGCAGTTTAATTTAAGATAGCCTAATAAAGGTTAATACATTTTTACATATTTTACTAATTAGTTACATATTATTAGCCATGCATGGGGTCTGTACTGTGGGTAGGGAATAGTTGGCGAGAAAAGAAAAAGAGCATGCAATAGCATATATAGATCTACAGGCAATGATCTTTTGTAGAAACAGAAAACAGATTTCGTTTTGTGTAGGCTATTATAGTCATATTATGGATAAAAACAGGAATACAATGCGACAGATCGAACCCACCAGAGGCCTATATAATAAATATTATATAACATGAACACGTTACGCATCTTTCATGGATTAATAGCACTTTACTGAAACTGGCTCTTACAAGTGGGTGAATGTGACAGTCTTTCTTACTTATCTTAGACTGCTTAGCCTATGCATTGTCTCTTGCTGATTCTTATGTCCATACTTCTCTGTCAGGCACATAAATTTGGGACATTACAAACTTCAAGGGTGGTCCAGACAGGGTCAAGCTAGCACTTCCTTATTTAATTAAGTAAGCTTTGTAATTTCTTTGTCTCTCTAATTTTGTTACATGTATTCCGTAGTAGATCTATTACAACAGGACACTGTCTTCTTAGATGTCAAGGTTTTGGTTTTTTTCGCGTTTAATTTCTTCTTCAAAACTCTCACATCACATTGCAGACACTTGATCTTTTGTCATGTACAGGACTTGTATCTGTATCCTTTGGAACTGGCCTGAAGGGAACAATAATTATTTTTTTTGGAGGGTTTGGAACAGTAAACAGCATGGGCACAGCATTCAGCACTAGAATTGTTCAATATGCAAATTTCCAAAGGCAGTACGTACAGTTCAAATTGCTCAGCGCACAATTGTGACAATGCATTTCCATGGTACACGTATAGGTGACATGCTATCTTGAAAACCAAAGTAACGTCAGCCTTCCGATGATAATTCATTACCCATTTATTTTATTTTTTTTACATCAGAAATATATTATAATTTTTTGGTAGGAGTGCGAAAAACTTAGATTGTAACACAGAGTTTTACAGGTAGGCCTATACTATAGACCGGTGCTCACAATAAATAATACACTGTGGTGGCCCATATTCTCACGTGTGCAGTTAAATGTTGCAAAATTCATAGATCTACATAGAATATAGATCTAGGTCTACTCCTTTAGTTTCATTTCATAAAAGAGAAAAGTGCTTGGTATTGATTAACAGTTTTGAATGAGTACATCTACTGGAGACTTTAAAATTAATAAAATCTTTTTTGGATAGTTAAATGACATTCATCCCACATCTAACCCCCCCCCCCCCCCCCCCCA